CTTTTATCTGTAACCATTGTTAGACCAGGACGCAAGAAAAGACCACTGACTCCAATTAAAATCAAATTAAAGCAAGCTTATTATTTCGACTGTCTGGGCTGCCTCTCCCACTCAAAACTGAGGGAAAAAGACAGCAGCAGCAGCTTTCCTGCAGCCCAGATTTATAGCCCAGAAAGTTACACAAAGTGGGGTTACAGATAACAGAACTCTGACGAGCATCACACAAATGGTAGTTTGCATTTTTGGCTGGCCCCAACATCAGAATTTATGAGGATCATTAGAGCCTCAGAGAGGGTCGTTGTCTGGCCAGGGAAGGCCAATATTTATGAGATGTCACTAAAGTTTCAGAGAGGGCTGCTATCTGGTCAGAGAGCCAGGCATGGGTGAGTTCAAGGCACGGGCAGGCATTCCAAGCAGGTTCAGAATTTGCAGTAATTTATAGTAAAGCCAAAATCAGCTTTTCATGGCTTTGTGGCGAGATGGCTCCCAATTTTGAGAGAAAATCAGGTTGGGTCTATCACCATAATGTACCAATTAAAAGAAAAGAAAAAATATAAAGGGACTAGGTCTGAGTGCTGTATTATAGAGCTGAAGGCCTCAGGGACAGCCTCAGGAGGGAGACAAGTTCCCATCACCCCATTCCCACATTTACCACATCTGTAGACTTAACTATGGCACCTCAGCTTTACTTTCTTTATCTTTTGAAGTTCTTTAGGAAACAGTCAATACCAAAACAAACCCAAACCACAGCTAATTAGATTGCTATTCAAGAAAACAAATCCCTACTGAATTTGTACAAATGGGCACATAAAGAGAATAAGAAAACATTAGCAATGTAAAGACCATAATGAAGGTAATATTTGTTACTGAGTGGAAGAAGTTTCAACTTAAAATTCCATTTGTCACCAGATGGATTGAACCCTCAGCTGGTTGCTCTGGACTCTAAGCAGGTATATTTCCATTCCCCTACCAACTTCCTTCTAAATTCCCTTGACTTTCCTTAGACCCTACTGAACGTCCAACTTGCTGGTGCTTGTACATCAGCCTCCTAACCAGGGGTCACATCCAGACAGCTTGCAGGCTCAGTAGTGTTTTCACATGTGTGCTATTCACCCTTGATGATGTTTTGGTTTATTTTTATGTTCCTTTTGCTTTAAAACAAATCAGTTTCCAACTTTTATAAATGAGACTTAAAATCTGCATTTCAAGTTTCTCTTAAAATTAGCCCTTTGGATAACACTTAGATGAAATTGTGATCCCACCCCCTGCATTTGGGAGGCTCTACCTATTAGCAGGACATGTCCTCTGTGGTTTGCTCTGTGCCCTGATTGTCTTCCTGACACCAAGGCTCAGGGTCGAAGGTCTGTGATCAATATGGTTGCATGGTTACTTTTGCTTATTTTGAACTATTTTACTCACTACCTGGCCCCAGAAGTGTTTAAGTTGAGACTCCATTTCTCTCTCTCTCTCTCTCTCTCTTTTAAATCAAGCTTTTTAATTTTATTTTTTATTTTTAGTTGTAGTTGGACACAATACCATTATTTTATTTATTTATTTTTATATGGTGCTGAGGATCGAACCCAGGGCCTCATGCATGTCAGGTGAGCAATCTACCACCTAGCCACAACCTCAGCCCCGAGACCACATTTCTAACCTTAGCTTTTCAGCTCATTAAATGGAATCTAATTTCTTTCTCTCTGGTGTTTCTTGTCATTCCTTACTCTGCTTCTGAGAACTTGAAGTTTTTGGGTGGACTGTTGGATAGGATCCAGAATTAGCATTTGGCCACGGATTACAGTGGGATGACTTACTTCTAGTGGATTCCATAAAGTGTCGCTTGGGGCTTCCCTTGAAGTCTTAGAGTTAGCTAGAAGCTCCACATTATAGGCATGTTAATTCATATTTTACCTGAAAGTATAAATCCTTCAAAATTTCACTTTTTGTCTCCCCAGTCAGAAGCCAATTCTTGGTTTACATTATGTTACTTCAAACTTTACTACTGCCAACCTGGATTCTTTACCAGCCCTCAACTGGTCTAACCCACACCAGCCAACACATTCTAACACAGCTCTCTCTCCAAGTTTGCTGTAATTATATGACCCACACCCAGACAGAAAGCATTAATAGATAGAATGAGGGGCTGGGGTTGTGGCTCAGTGGTAGATCACTCACCTAGCATGCATGAGGCCCTGGGTTCGATCCTCAGCACCACATAAAAATAAAGAGAAGCAAATGAAGGTAAAATAAGATGTTTTAAAAAAATAGAATGAACATGCATGGAATCATATTACTTTAAAAATCTACCACTCTTTTTCTCCAGCCATTTTCATTCTTCTCTTTCACTATCTGGGCACACAGCTCCTGCACTTGTGCTCTCTCCCCTCCAGGCCATTGCTCATGTTTTTAAAAGCATATTCATGAAGTCTCTTCAGATCCCAGTTCTGTGTGGCACCTTGCCAGATCCTCCCAGATTAAAGTGTTCTTTACTTCCTGTGTTCTCTTGGGATATTTTCCCAAGATCCTATCAGTCTGCCTTGAGCTTTATGTGATTTTCTCATGCCTTCGATCTGAGCTTGTGGAGGGTAAGGACCATTATTTACAAGGATCCTTTATTTTCTGTAACCCTGCAAGTTGAACCGAAACAAATTGAAAATTCATTCCTTTAAACAACTTGATTTTAAACCCTTATAGATCTGGGAACCAATGTGACCTTAAAAAGAGGCTTCTAAACCTCTTTTATACCCCCAAATAAAATGTTTGTTCACCTTCAAGAAACAACATATAAGTGTGAAATTTTAAAGAACATGTTTGGAAGTATATACTACATCACCTAAACTAATTCTAATAATGAAACAACAGACAAATTCAGAAAGAGGGACGTTCTCCAGGACAAGGGGTCTAGACTATAGAACCATGAAAAACTAACCAACCAAGCAAATGAAAAAGGCAGTCCATGAACATTTATTGAATCCTTGATCAGGAAACAAAAAGCCTAAAAGATATTTTTGGGAATGGTGGCAATTATAGATGAGATGATGGTATTAAATTAATATTGAATTTCTTTTTTATTATTGGTTGTTCAAAACATTACAAAGCTCTTGACATATCATATTTCATACATTTGATTCAAGTGGGTTATGAACTCCCATTTTTACCCCATATACAGATTGCAGAATCACATCGGTTACACATCCATGTTTTTACATAGTGCCATACTAGTTACTGTTGTATTCTGCTGCCTTTCCTATCCTCTACTATCCCCCCTCCCCTCCCCTCTCTCTACCCCATCTACTGTAATTCATTTCTCTCCCTTGTTTTTTTTCCCTTTCCCCTCACTTCCTCTTACATGTAATTTTGTATAACAATGAGGGTCTCCTTCCATTTCCATGCAATTTCCCTTCTCTCTCCCTTTCCCTCCCACCTCTCCTCCCTGTTTAATGTTAATCTTTTTCTCATGCTCTTCCTCCCTGCTCTGTTCTTAGTTGCTCTCCTTATATCAAAGAAGATATTTGGCATTTGTTTTGGGGGATTGGCTAGCTTCACTTAGCATAATCTACTCTAATACCATTCATTTCCCTGCAAATGCCATGATTTTGTCATTTTTTAGTGCCGAGTAATACTCTATTGTGTAAAAATACCACATTTTTTTTATCCATTCATCTATTGAAGGGCATCTAGGTTGGTTCCACAGTCTAGCTATTGTGAATTGTGCTGCTATGAACATCGATGTAGCAGTATCCCTATAGAACGCTCTTTTAAAGTCTTCAGGGAATAGTCCGAGAAGAGGAATCTGGGTCAAATGGTGGTTCCATTCCCAGCTTTCCCAGGAATTTCCATACTGCTTTCCAAATTGGCCGCACCATAAATTAAAATTAAATTTCTTTGGTATAGTAATGATTTTGTTATGTGGGATAATGACCTTAATTGTTAAGAATTGTACACCATGTTATTTAGGATGTTATGTCAAGACATTGGCAACTAATTTTCAAATGACTCAGTCTCTTCCACCCCCCAGAAGTTTATATATTAAGAGGAAAAAAGCAAAAGTGTCAAGATAATAATAATTAGTAAATATAGATAAAGAGTATATGGATATTTTGTGGTACTATTTTTGAGTTTTCTCTAGATTCACAATTTTTTTTTCAAAATAAAAAGCTTGGGGAGGGGGCGTGGATGCCAGGTATGTTGGCACACACCTGTAATCCCAGAGGCTCAGGAGACTGAGACAGGAGGATCACAAGTTCAAAGCCAGCCTCAGCAAAAGTAAGGTGCCAAGTAACTCAGTGAGACCCTGTCTTTAAATAAAATATAAAACAGGGCTGCGGGTGTGGCTCAGTGGTTGAATGCCCCTGAGTTTAATCTCTAGTACCAAACCAAATCAAACCAAACAAAATGGCAAGTAAGAGGGTAGAAGGAAGTTTAATTTCCTAATTGTATTATTCTTAAGATGTTACTAAATAAATAATAGCTAAACAGTGAAGAAAACATTTATTTTGGTCTAGTTTTATATTTTGTAGTGGAATCAACTAATAGCAAACCATATATTCAGTTGTAAGAATTATTAAATTGATAATGCAGATTTTGTTACTTTTAAAATAGACTTTTCACACTTGCTTTATGCTTTTTTTTTTTAAGAAAATCAACTGGAAGAAGTAGATTAAAGTGTGTATTGAGGAATATAAGTTTTCACTGTAGGTTTGGAAATATTGGACAAATCCTAACTTTTCATTATCCCAAGCCTTTCTAAGCCATCTACTATTTTAGGTATCTAAACGTAGATACCTACATATCATTGATTTGCCCCCTTTTCTAGGTTAAATGAAATTACTGTCTTTTCTTGGTGCTCGCTAAATGGATCTGGTCAATAAAGGTGGAGATATAAATATATCAGTGTAAAAGGACAAATAAGAGATAAGACCATGCATTTATTGCCCACTTATGTAATTGTATGTGTCACTAAGGACAAAGGTCCTTAAAGCAAGACAAAAGGCAAAGTAGAAACTGCTTTCTGCATGAGGATAGATGGGCTTGCTGCCACTTCCCTCTTTGGGATTTTTTTTTTCTACATGGTTGTATATTCTTCTAGTTTTATAATCATGTTTGAGAACACAGCCATTTTTCTGAGCACGAGTTGATGGCGGAAGAGATGCTTTGCTCCAATAAAAAGAAAACAAGGATTTTTCGAGAGCATTCATAGACAGAGGACAGCCCTTTCTTCCTGAGCTCTGACAACCCTTGTTTTAAGAGGAAATATTGACTAGAACCACAGCGCCATGGATGTAGTAGGTGAAAATGAGGCCCTGCAGCAGTTTTTTGAAGGTAAGAAGAGTCTGGTTTCCAACGGGAAGTTACCACTTCTGAGAAATGTCACTTTCGCAATTGCAATGGCACCTTTCCCTCATTTACTTAAAATTTGTCTTGAAAGAAATCCTATCATATTTAGATAACTCTCCTGAAGTTGGAAATGGAGCTTGTTTGCTTCATTGTAGGAAAAGTTGGTAGAATGGATAGTGATTTTAAAAAACAGAGAATTTCCATCTTACAGCTTGGTTGTTAAGAATCAAAGAGTCAGCGTATTTATTATTCATTACTTGTGTCCTCTGTGTTTTAAAAAACGTTAGATTTGTCTTATCTCTAAAGTGACTGAATAGAGCCCAAGAAAAATGTAAGATTTAACTTAAAATATTTTTAGTTAGTATAAAATACAAAATAGACTAAAACAGCAAAGAAACACCTCCTTCCTCATTCCCATCTTTCTGTTTTTCTCACAACACTTTAAAAGTATGTAACTGGATAGGATTTGTTTTTTTCAACGGAATATCATTTTTTTCGCAGTGGAAAGTCATGTTGTGGACTATTACACTGGTTTTCTTCCTAGCGAGATCCTAAATGGCAGGACACCAGCTCCTCTTTTGCTGGGTTGATATTTTGCTGGGTACGCTGGCAACGTCTGGGAATCCTCGCCCTCTGTGCTGTTCTTCTATGTGCCAGAGGGAGACTCCACATCGGGTGGCTTCTGTGTGACACAGGTTAGCTGTGCTCAGACTCCCCATGAAAGGACATGTAGGTATTTCCCAGGAGCGAGAAGGAGGAGAACTGAGGGCGCTCCAGGGCAGACGTGCTAGAGGACAGTCAGCAGTACACCGGGGACGTGCACCTGGCAATTCTTGTGCTTAGTAAAGTGCCTGGCAAATAACAGATGTTCAGAGGTTGAATGGAATTGATCAAATACTAAACAATACAGAACAATAAGGAGTGACAGGTCATATAAAAAAATAGTCATTCTAGTCCTCATTAGAAGGAATCAACATAATGTGGTAGTTTTCATGGTTTGGATTTTGCCAGAAGTGGCAAAAAGGAACATAAGAATAAGAGAATTATCATATTTCCTCCATCCCACAGTTCTGCTCGACAGTGGCCAAGTTAGCATGGCCCACCGGGTCTTGTTTGAGTTGTTGCTTGAGTTGTTATTGCCTGATTTTACATCAGATGTAACTGTCATTTGAGCAGCATGTTACAAGCTCCAAGCTACAGTTGCATCTGCACTTTTTTTTCTTTAAAAAAAAAGAGAAATTATTAATGTAGTTTATAAATGCAAAAGTCTACTTCACTTTCTTCCAGAACAAGGACAATTTAATCAATCTTCTGTTTATTTTTTTCTGGAAGAGTTATTAGATCCTACAGGATTCCTATGCTGTCCTTGTTTGTAATATTTTCAGAGATCGCTATAGTTTCTATAAATTTCCTCTGTAGCTTGTGGCAATACCTGATTATTACAAAGTATATTGTTTTTATTTTTATTTTTTTATTACAGTTTCTCTTTTAGCTCCAAATCAAATTATGGCTTTTTTTTTTAAGTCTTTTTGATGGGGGAGGAGTCCATTATCTACAAAAGAAAAGAAAATGCTCAGCGTTTTTCTTTGAGTGTATAGCTGGGATAGGTGGCTGACTTTATGAATAAAAAATACAGGCATTAGCTTAAGTGACTCCCTTCCCCTGAAAATCACAGAGCTAATTGTCATCTTAAAAAAATTTCTCCACTATTCAGCAAGCATTAAGCACCTACTCTATGCCAAGTCTGACGATCACCTCCTTTAAGTGGTAGCCCGTAGTGCTTTGAAACCTCTCCCTTGGATTTTAATGATTTCCTTTCCCTGGACCATTTTCAAATCTTCCTTAGGAGGAGGGCAGCAAAATTAGATATGGTGTTGTGATGAGAAGGGACAGTCGGTGCCTGTCACGCTCCCGTTGATATGCTGCTGTTTCTAATCAAATACAATATCATGAAAATTTTTTATAAAACAAGGTCTGAAAGCCAAGAAAACTTTTGGCAAATTGTTATACACCTGAAAGCATTTTTCTCCATTTCCTTGGACTCTTTGTTCTCAGAAACTAAGCTCTAAATAATGCATTTTTCCTTAAGAACATTCTTGTATTCAAGAACATCTGGATTGAAAATCTCATCTTGAATTAGCTCATGCTGACTTTAGTTTTTGTTATACAATGGCCGACTGAAACTCCAGCTCCCTGCTGGAGTCTGTTCTTAGGACCAGAGGCCGAGGAAGGGCAGGAACCTGCACCCAGGTCCTCAGAGCAACAAAGAAGACCTAACCAGGAAGCTGCTATCAAACAAGCTTTGGACACTTTCTTTCCCTGTCTGTCTGCTAAGATTTACATTCTCCAGGTAGCTGTTATCAAAAGAAGGTGGTGGGGATGCAGGGAAGGTGGAAACATCTGCTACCCACGAGCTGTCAGGAACACCATGGCAGAGTCCAGTGTTCAGGGAAATGCTGAAGACCCTGGAGCAGAAAAGCAGTGATGAAGTGCCCTGTCAACATGGGACAAATTGAGAAAGACTTCAAGGGAGGCGAGGCGGAACTGTTGTAGAAGAGAGATGTAGCTTGGGAAAAAATGTGTGCATGGCATCAGTAGATAGCAAGCATTCAGTAGTACATATAGAATCAGTGAAAGAAAAAAAGCAGTGCAAAGAACTACACCTTTCAAGAGGTGTTGAATTCTAACTAGGTTTGGGTCCCTCAACAAATTCTAATGTAGGAAAAAAGAAAAAAAAGTGATTGATAAATGATCTAATGCCAGCTTCTACTTTCATAGAGTCTTGGGTTCAGAATGCTTTCACCGAAAATGTTAGCAGTTCTGATGAGTGAGAAAGGTTATTTTCTCCAAGAGTAGGTTTGGTTCATCTCTAAAGATGGAGTTAGACATCTTGTTGCATGTAGCACATCTAAACTTCCCCCACAGGAGTGGGAGTTTGTTTGTCTGTGAGGCAGCTTCTCCTGTGTGGAGACAGCATGGACTTTCAGAAGGAGACTGGGAATAAGAATGTACCAACATCAAGAAGAACCAGACAGATCTTGCAAGAGACTTAGGGTTATTTCAACATTTCTACCTGATATTGGTAGTTGGTTAGAAACTGTGTTGCCTTGGAACAGAGCATCTAGAATAAAGAGGCTACTGGCTTGGTGCCACAAAGAAGAAACCCCTTTTCTTCTTGCATGCTGTTATCCCCCAAATGAAGGTGGTTTAATGACAATTTAATATGTGCCATGATGAGATCAGAGCTGACCCTGGTCACCTTCACACATGGTGCTGCACTAGAAATCTGCCAGCCTTATTGCCATCTTTAGGGAACCCTGAGACAAAGTCACCTGGCAAACCCTTCTGAGAGCAGGTTCCCCCTACCTTCTTTGATGTTATTAATGTGGTCATCATTTTCAACTTTGGAGTTAGGATGGAACTTCTGGCCAACTCAACAGTGTCTTGGAAGCTAAACATTCAACATAATGGCAATTTTGGAAAACATATAAAAGAAAATGATAGTCATTACTATTAATCTCTGTTTGATTTGGTGTTGACCTTATGTGTTTTTTAAAACAAAAATGGGGATTATATTATTTGTACTCTGTAGCAATGGTCTTTTTCATGGAACATAGAGTGAAAGTCTCTTATCATTAGTTATTCTTGCTGATCTACAAGAGAGATCCACAAGCTATGATCCATAGCCCAAATTTGGCCTGCGGCCTGTTTTTACAAATAAAGTTTATCAGGACACATCTAATCATTCACATATTGTCTATGGCTACTTTGATAGTGCAGTGTCAAGAGTTGAGTGGTTGCAACAGAGGCCATATGGCCTGAAAAACCTAAAACATTTACCATCTGGCTCTTTACAGGATATGTTGTATTTATTTATTGAATACTTAGTATATGCTGGGTATAGAATCATAGTTAGGAACATGGATTCTAAATCAGCCATTCTGGGTGGGAATCCTGGCTCTGCCATTTATTTACTACCTCTGGATTAGAGACCAGTAAACCTCTGCAGGACTTAGCTCCTTTATTTATAAAATGGAGATAATTGTATTATCTCAAAATGTGGTTGAGGGGCCTTATGCATGGCACAGAGAGGTCAGTAACTGTTAGCTATTATTATTCTCATTGTTAATTATCACTTTTCTCCACTTACCATCAAAGCAGCTCTGTGCGGTTTTTATCCTCCCATGAGAAACACGAGGCTGATGGAGGTTAAGCAGCTTGCTGAAGGGTCATCCAGATAGTAAGTGGCTGCAGGATCATCACTGATTCCTTCCTTTTGTTTATTCACTCAGCCAATCAAAAAATACTGGAGTGTCTCTCATGAGCCGGATGCTGTCCTAATGTACAGAGTATCAGTGGCCACAAACAGACCCCTGGCCCTAAAGGGAAAGAATAAGAAGGAGATAAGATAACCTAGGGAGATACATAATAAAGATGATTTCAAAAATTCCTTAATTATAATAAAAATATATAATGAGAAACTGAGGCAGGAGGATCGCAAGTTCAAGACCAGTCTCAGCAACTTAGGGGAGAGAGACTGATGCATGGAGAGAGTGGGTTCCTGGAGCTCTAGTGATCAGGAAAGACTTCTGAGGAGGTGACAGGTGAAGAGCTGGGAACTGAATAAAGATCAGGAGCACGTCAGGCAAAAGTTTGGGAGAACACTCACGCAGAGTCACTGAGTGGGGAATGGTTTGGAGTGGAGTATGGAAGGAACAGTGAGGCGCAGGTGGTTGGAGTGTAGCGAGTGACAGTGGGGAGGGCGACAGCATTAGAGTTTGACATTAGTTTGGGCTTTTATTGTCAGTGTCATGGAAAACTAGCTGAGAGTTTTAAGCAGTAGAATGGGCAGGACTGGCAGATGAATGGGACGAGAGAGTGAGGAAGACAGAGGAAACTGTTAAGGACGACGCCTCCATGTTGGATGGTTCATAATGATAGAAAGATTCAGGTGTGGAAGATGAAAGGAAGCACAAGTAGGGGTG